AAACGGGGATTTTGGGCAATTTCTGGGAGGGAAACACGGGGGGAAAATGGGGAAAAACGGGGGAAAAATGGGGCAAAAAACGGGGCAAAAAACGGGGATTTTGGGCAATTTCTGGGGGGGGAAACACAGAAATTGGGGGAAAAATGGGGAAAATGGGGAAAAAATGGGGGAAAAATGTGGGAAAATCGGGGGGAAAAAGGGAAAAAAAATGGGGGAAAATGGGGGAAAATTGGGGAAAAAAATGGGGGGAAAGAAAGGGATTAAAAATGGGGGAAATACGGATTAAAAATGGGATTAAAAATGAGAAAAAATTGGGGAAAATTGGGGAAAATTGGGGGGAAAATTGGGGGAAAAAGGGAGAAAAAAAATATGGGAAAAAATGGGATTGAAAATGGGAAAAAATGGGGGAAAATTGGGGGAAAAAGGGAAAAAAATGGGATTAAAAATGGGATTAAAAATGGGATTAAAAATGGGATTAAAAATGGGATGAAAATGGGGAAATTGGGTGGGAAAGGGGAATAAAAAGGGGCCCAAAATGAGGATTTTGGGGATTTTCCCACAGAACCCGGAGCAGTCGGACGAGGACGAGGAGAAAAGCCGGAGAGACTCGGAAGGTTTGGGGATTGGGGAATTTTGGGGAATTTTGGGAATTTTGGGGAATTTTGGGAATTTTGGGGATTTTTGGGGATTTTTTGGGGATTATTTTTGGGGATTTTGGGGATTTTTTGGGATTTTTTTGGGATTTTTGGGGATTTTTTTTGGGATTTTTGGGAATATTTTTGGGGATTTTTTTGGAATTTTTGGGGATTTTTTGGGGGATTTTTTTGGGGATTTTTTGGGAATTTTTTGGGGTTTTTTTGGGGATTTTTGAGGATTTTTGGGGGATTTTTTTTGGGAATTTTTGGGGGATTTTGGGGGGAATTTTTTGGATTTTTTTTGGATTTTCTTGGGACTTTTTTGGGATTTTTTTGGGGGATTTTGGGGAATTTTTGGGGGGAATTTTGGGGGAATTTTGGGATTTTTGGGGTGAATTTTTTTGGATTTTTTTTATTTTTGGGGGATTTTTGGGTGGAAATTCGGAATTTTTGGGTGGAATTTTTTTGCATTTTTTTTATTTTTGGGGGAATTTTGGGATTTTTGGGTGGAATTTTGGGATTTTTGGGTGGAAATTTGGAATTTTTGGGGGGAAATTTGGAATTTTTGGGGGGAATTTTGGGGGAATTTTGGGATTTTTTTGAGGGGGAAATTTGGAATTTTTGGGTGGAAATTTGGGATTTTTGGGTGGAAATTTGGAATTTTTGGGTGGAAATTTGGGATTTTTGTGGGAATTTGGGATTTTTGGGGGAATTTTGGAATTTTTGGGTGGAAATTTTGGGATTTTTGGGTGGAAATTTGGGATTTTGGGGGAAATTTGTATTTTTGGGTGGAAATTGTTGTTTTTGGTGACTTTTCCCGTTTTCCCCAGGTTCTGCCTCATCCTCCGGAGCCGAGGACGATCCCGGGAATTTCCTGAAGCGCCGGGACCGGGACGAGCCCCGGGGCCGCTACAAAGTCAGGGGAAAACGGGGCAAAAAACGGGGCAAAAAACGGGGCAAAAAACGGGGATTTTGGGCAATTCCGGGAGGGGAAACACAGGGGGAAAATGGGGAAAAATTAGGATTAAATTGGGGCAAAAAACGGGGCAAAAAACGGGGATTTTGGGCAATTCCGGGAGGGGGAAAATGAGGAAAAAATGGGGAAAAATTTGCATTAAATTGGGGGAAAAACGGGGCAAAAAACGGGGATTTTGGGCAATTCCAGGGAGGGGAAACACAGGGGGAAACGGGGGAAAAATGAAATGGGGCAAAAAACGGGGCAAAAAACGGGGATTTTGGGCAATTTCTGGGGGGGAAAACACGGGGAAAATGGGGAAAAAATGGGGGAAAAATGAAATTAAATTGGGGCAAAAAACGGGGATTTTGGGTAATTCCGGGAGGGGGAAACACGGGGGGAAAATGGGGAAAAAATGGGGGAAAAATGAAATTAAATTGGGGCAAAAAACGGGGATTTTGGGCAAATTCTGGGGAGGGAAAATGGGGGAAAAATGGGATAAAATTTGGATTAAATTTGGATTAAATTGGGATAAAATTGGGGGAAAAATGGGGATAAAATTGGGTAAAAAATGGGTAAAAAATGGGATAAAATTGGGTAAAAAATGGGATAAAATTGGGTAAAAAATGGGATAAAATTGGGGGGAAAATGGGATAAAATTGGGGGAAAATTGGGATTAAATTTGGATTAAATTGGGTAAAAATGGGTAAAAAATGGGTAAAAATTTGGATTAAATTGGGGGAAAGATGGGATAAAATTGGGGGAAAAATGGGATAAAATTGGGGTAAAAATGGGTAAAAAATGGGATTAAATTGGGATTAAATTGGGGGAAAAATGGGATAAAAATGGGTAAAAAATGGGATTAAATTGGGATTAAATTGGGTAAAAAATGGGTAAAAATTTGGATTAAATTGGGGGAAAAATGGGATAAAATTGGGTAAAAATGGGGGAAAAATGGGATAAAATTGGGTAAAAATGGGATTAAATTGGGATTAAATTGGGGGAAAATTGGGTAAAAAATGGGTAAAAAACGGGTAAAAAATGGGTAAAAAATGGGATAAAATCAGGTAAAAAATGGGATAAAATTGGGTAAAAAATGGGTAAAAATTGGGATTAAATTGGGGGAAAAATGAGATTAAATTGGGGGAAAAATGGGATTAATTTTGGATTAAATTGGGTAAAAAATGGGATAAAATTGGGATAAAATTGGGTAAAAAATGGGATAAAATTGGGTAAAAAATGGGTAAGAAATGGGATTAAATTAGGATAAAATTGGGTGAAAATGGGATAAAATTGGGTAAAAAATGGGATAAAATTGGGTAAAAATGGGTAAAAAATGGGATAAAATTGGGTAAAAAATGGGATTAAATTGGGATAAAATTGGGTAAAAATGGGATTAAATTGGGATAAATTTGGGATAAAATTGGGTAAAAAATGGGATAAAATTGTGTAAAAAATGGGATTAAATTGGGATAAAATTGTGTAAAAAATGGGATTAAATTGGGATAAAATTGGGATAAAATTGGGTAAAAAATGGGATAAAATTGGGTAAAAATGGGATGAATTTGTGGATGAAGGGGGCCCGAAATGGGGTGAGAAAAGGGGGTTTTGGGTGTTCCTGGGGCAGGAGGAGGAGTCGGAGTCGGAGTCGGAGTCGGACGAGGATTGGGGGGACTCGGCCTCGGAGTCGGACTCGGAGTCGGACGAGGACGAGGGGAAATTCACCTCGCTGGCCTCCAAATTCCTGAAAAAGTGAGGGGAGGAACGGGGGGAAAATGGGGAAATTGGGGAAATTTGGGGGGGAAAAATTGGGGAAAAATTGGAGAAAAAATTGGGGGGAAATTGGGAAAAATTGGAGAAAAATGGGGGAAAAATTGGGATTTTTGTGGGGGGTTTTTTGGGTTTTTTTTGGGTTTTTTTTGGGATTTGGGGGTTTTTTGGGGGAATTCGGGTTTTTGGGTGGAATTTGGGTTTTTTGGGGATTTTTTGGGGGAATTTGGGGGATTTTGAGAATAAAAACCTGCGAAAAACGCCCCACAAAAGGGATTTTTTGGGGGTTTTTTGGGGTTTTTTGGGGGAATTTGGGGGATTTTGGGGGAAATTGGGTTTTTTTGGGTGGAATTTGTGTTTTTTTGGGGGATTTCGGGGTTTTTGGGGGATTTTGGTTTTTTTGTGTGGAATTTGGGTTTTTTGGGGTGGAATTTGTGTTTTTTTGGGTGGAATTTTGGGGTTTTTTGGGGGATTTTGGTTTTTTTGGGTGGAATTTGTGTTTTTTTGGGTAGAATTTTGGGGTTTTTGGGGGATTTTGGGGCTGATGGGACCCGGGCAGGGACGAGGAGCGGCGCGGGGCCGAGCGGCGCCGCGAGGAAAAGGCCAAGAAGAAGCTGGAGAGGAAGAGCCGGCGCGAGGAGGAGGAGGAGGAGGAGGAAGGAGGGGAGTGGGAGAAGGTCAAGGGCGGCGTCCCCCTCATCAAGGTGGGGGTTTTTTTTTGGGGGGGAAAAACGGGATTTTTGGGGATTTTTTTTTTTTAATTTTTTGTGGATTTTTTGGGGTTTTTTTGGGTTTTTTTTAGATTTTTTGGGGATTTTTTTGGATTTTTTTGGATTTTTTGGGGGTTTTTTGGGCATTTTTTTGGGATTTTTTGGGGATTTTTTGTGGATTTTTTGTGGATTTTTTGTGGATTTTTTGGGGTTTTTTTGGGTTTTTTTGGGGGTTTTTTGGGGTTTTTTTGGGTTTTTTTTGCAGATTTTTTTAAAATTATTTGTGGATTTTTTGGGGATTTTTTGGGATTTTTTTGGGGATTTTTTGGGGGTTTTTTGGGGGTTTTTGGGGGGATTTTTTGGGATTTTTTAAAATTTTTTTGTGGATTTTTTGTGGATTTTTTGGGGTATTTTTTTGGGGATTTTTTGGGAATTTTTGGGCTTTTTTTGGGGATTGTTTGGGGTTTTTTTGCAGATTTTTTTTAATTTTTTGTGGATTTTTTGTGGATTTTTTGTGGTTATTTTGGGATTTTTTGGGGTTTTTTTGGGTTTTTTTTGCAGATTTTTTTAAAATTATTTGTGGATTTTTTGGGGCTTTTTGGGGGGTTTTTTGGGGTTTTTTTGGGATTTTTGGGGGATTTTTTGCATTCCCATAAATTCAATTTTCAGAGGTGTTTGTTTGGGGTTTTTTGGGTTTTTTTTGGGATTTTTTTCATCCCCATAAATTCAATTTTCGGAGGTTTTTTTTTTGGGGGGTTTTTTGGGGCTGCAGCCCCAGCTGCGGCGCTCGGGGCTCGATGTGTGGGGCAGCCCCATAAGCGGCGCTCTCTATGGGGCAGGAGAAGCCCAAGATGTTCGCCAAGGGCACCGAGATCACCGTGGGGCTGGTGGTGAAGAAACTCAACGAGATCCTGCAGGCGCGCGGCAAGAAGGGCACGGACAGGTGGGGCTGCCCCATAGATCCTGACCCACATCCTGCCCCATAGATCCATCCTGACCCATAGATCCATCCTGCCCCATAGATCCTGTGTGACCCAGAGATCCTGCCCCATAGATCCTGACCCATGGATCCTGACCCATGGATCCTGACCCATGGATCCTGACCCATAGATCCTGCCTGACCCATAGATCCTGCCTGACCCACAGATCCTGCCGGACCCATAGATCCTGACCCATGGATCCTGCCCCATAGATCCTGACACATAGATCCTGCCCCATGGATCCTGCCTACCCCATAGATCCTGTCCCATAGATCCTGCCCCATGGATCCTGCCTACCCCATAGATCCTGCCTGCCCCATAGATCCTGCCTGACCCATAGATCCTGCCCCATAGATCCTGCCCCAGAGATCCTGTGTGACCCATAGATCCTGACCCATAGATCCTGACCCATAGATCCTGACCCATGGATCCTGACACATAGATCCTGACCCAGAGATCCTGCCTGACCCATAGATCCTGACCCATAGATCCTGACCCATAGATCCTGACCCATAGATCCTGCCTGACCCATAGATCCTGCCTGACCCACAGATCCTGTGTGACCCATAGATCCTGACACATAGATCCTGCCGGACCCATAGATCCTGACCCATAGATCCTGCCCCATAGATCCTGACCCATGGATCCTGACCCATAGATCCTGCCTGACCCATAGATACTGCCTGACCCACAGATCCTGCCGGACCCATAGATCCTGCCCCATAGATCCTGACCCATAGATCCTGACACATAGATCCTGACCCAGAGATCCTGACCCATATGATCCTGACCCATAGATCCTGCCCCATAGATCATCCCTGCCCCATAGATCCTGCCTGCCCCATAGATCCTGACCCATAGATCCTGACCCAGAGATCCTGCCCCATAGATCCTGCCCCACATCCTGCCTGCCCCATAGATCCTGACCCATAGATCCTGACCCATAGATCCTGACCGAGATCCTGCCTGCCCCATAGATCCTGTGTGACCCATAGATCTGCCCCATAGATCCTGTGTGACCCATAGATCCTGACCCATAGATCCTGTGATCCATAGATCCTGTGTGACCCATAGGTCCTGTGTGACCCATAGATCCTGTGTGATCCATAGATCCTGTGTGACCCATAGGTCCTGTGTGACCCATAGATTCTGTGTGATCCATAGATCCTGACCCATAGATCCTGACCCATAGATTTGCCCCAGAGATCCTGCCCCATAGACTTGCCCCATTGTTCCCCCTGCCCCATATTTCTGTCACCCAATTTTCACCAGATCCTCCCCCGTTTTTCCCCGATTTCTGACCCCTTTTTCACGTTTTTTTCTCCCATTTCTGACCCTTTTCTCCCGTTTTTTTTCCCCGTTTTTGACCATTTCCTCGTGTTTTCTCCCCGATTCTCGCCCCAGGGCGGCGCAGATCGAGCTGCTGCAGCACCTGGTGGCCGTGGCCCACGAGCACAACCTGGGGGTGCCCCTGGAGCTGAAAATCAAATTCAACATCGTGGCCTCGCTCTACGACTACAACCCCAACCTGGCCGCCTACATGAAGGTGGAAACTGGGGCGAAAAACGGGGAAAACGGGCAAAACCAAAAACGGGGGGGAACTGGGACGAGGTTGGGAGGAAAGCGGGTGAAAGAAGGGTTAAAAACGGGGGAGAAATGGGGTTAAAAATGGGGTTTGTTTGGGGTTTGGGGTGTGGATTTGGGGCTGAGGGGGATCCGTGGGGCAGGGAATGATCCGTGGGGCAGGGAATGATACATGGGGCAGATCCATGGGGCAGAGGGGGATCTGTGGGGCAAGGAATGATCCGTGGGGCAGAGGGGGATCCATGGGGCAGGGAATGATCTGTGGGGCAGATCCATGGGGCAGAGTGGGATCCGTGGGGCAGATCCGTGGGGCAGGGAATGATCCGTGGGGCAGGGAAT